TGAGGTTAATTTTTGTGGCCGGAGCTGGTCATAACCCAAAAGGTTTGTTAGTAGAGGCGTTCGTATCCCGAGGTACCACTGTACTTAGTTTTTCACCCATAGCTTTTCCATTTTGGCTTTCTTTTTGTAAAATAAATGATGACATTGTGTAATACGTCATGTGTTGTTGTTCATCTGAAGTTGTATTTACCTCCTTTTGAAAACTGCTAAGGACCAGATGATTTTTATTATGTCCTGATACGTAAAACCATAGAACTCAAAGAGGATGTACTTTCTTTTTCACACGACTGTACAGTAGCTTGCCCTGTTAGTGTTGGTGGAGATGTTGTTTTCTCCTTGGTAGTTCCTTGATTAGGCTGATGTTTACTGCTTGATTGTTTGTCTGGTGTTAATCCTGGTGTTAATTCCTGCTTATCTGGATGTTGATTGCTGGCGAGGAGGTGTTCTGGTCTTTTTGTTTCCTTTCTATTGTTTCTTTTGAATGGTTTGTAAAGGTTGTTTATCTCTATGTGCCTGTGGATGGCTGACTTGTCTGAATACCAAGCTTCTAGGAATTCCCTCACATTTTTGGATTTAGCTTGGTTTAAGATGCTAACAGTTTCCCAGTTGAAACTATGGTTGAGCCTGTCCATTTGTTGTGAGATTAAGGAATTTTCATCATGTCTTCTGACTGCTAGTTGGTGTTCATGCATGTGTTCTGCTAGTCTTCGGCCTGTCTGTCCTGTATAGTGGCTGTTACAGTCCTCAGGAGTCATCCTGAGCTGTCCTACATAGTGCCTGTTGCTGTCCTCAGGAGTCATCTACAAAATACACTGTAAGGACTATAACAGCTTTGTAGGACAGAAACAAAAGGAACAAAAGGAAACAAAAAGACCAGAACACCTCCTTGCCAGCAATCAACACCCAGATAAGCAGGGATTAACACCAGGATTAACACCAGACAAACAATCAAGCAGTAAACAATTTTAATCAAATTTAAACAGTAATCAAGGACTACCAACTCAGACATTCAATCAAATAGTAAACAACAGCCTAATCTAGGAACTACCAGGTGGGGAAAAAAACACCCCCTCCAACACTGACAGGGCAAGCTACTGAGCAGGTGAAACTTGAAAAATTAGAATATCGTGCAAATGTTCATTTATGTCAGTAAGGCAACT